AAAAAAAAAAAAAAAAAAAGTGTGAAACAACCATGTGAAAAGCCTGCCTGATACTTCTGAGATGTACCAACATTACAAGTACAAGAAGTGTTGTAAGATTCAACCAGGAAACTACTTCGGAAGTGAAGTCACATTTGACAATCTCTCCCTGTAAAATATTTCGCAATAACTGACAGGCTCAGTTAGCAGCAGTGCTCAAGCAAGAATTACAGACATCTAACCAGCCATGTCCTCCACAGACATCTGAAAAGACTACAGAAGACCCACACACAACAAACTTCTCTATCTTCTAACCTATAACACTGAACTACTTATTCCAGCCTGGATTCTGATTTAGGAGTAACATGGGGCATTAGACATTCCAACAACAGCAGCTCAAAGATCTTGCTCCTAGTTGATGAGCATGTATGAACATACTGGCTTGCAAACTCTGTGTTCAGATGTCAAGACCTTGAGATTATTAACAAGTTTGCCACTAATTACACAAAAAAGAGCTACTACACAAATACACATGCTCCTCTCTGTTCTTGGAATACTGTGCATTTTTTTTTTAATAGGAGAATTCAAGTGAAAGAACAGCACAGTAATTACACTGTATCACAAACAAGAAAGAACAAAGAGTATTTCTAATTTTCTAAGAGAACAGCCATCTACCTCATTTCAGTCAACTGACCTGCTCAGGTCAGATAATGTAGTAACATACAAGCATGCACAAGATTTTGCTATTGATACAAAGGACTTTTTATCAGTGCAGGCAATTGCTCACTTATTTTGGAGTTTTCCACTTCAAACATTCCTCTTCTGGGATGTTACTAACTTGATGGTTCCCATGTACTTGGGACAAAAGCATGCTACATGCAGAACAGACCCCTGACTGATAAACTCATAAAGAAAGCACTACTTTTGGGCTATCACACCTCTTTAAGAGGAACGCACATGTCTCTGATGACAGCACTATTCTGGATGCTGAAAACAAAACAAAACCAAAACAAGAATAGGAATAGCTACCCTTTAAACAGCAGAAAAACAGCACGGAGAATACTTGTCCCAAAACAGCATTTACTAAATGTTGGACCGGGTGACATAGGTGGAAGAAATTTTGTCCCAACTGACAAGTTTCATCACGGTGGGGGGGAGGAGGGGGAAACACACAAAATTTGTGCCACGAATCTGCTCTTGCTTCCTAAGGATCAAAATTTAGTGCCGACAGAGAGTATTTTGGAAAATACTTTGGAAACCTTAATCACAACAACTACAGACACTGCATACTAAATTTGAAGTAACACACTGGATCTTATTAGACACAGTTTCCAGTTCTTGAAAGCTATTATTTTTAAACAAGCCAGCTGTTAGGAAGATAAGGAGAACGGCAACACCTCCCACGGGGGGGCTGCGCTGCAGCAACCGGCCGCACTTCGCCCCCTTCCCACGAGCACCGGTACGGGCTCCAGAAACGAGAAACTGTCTCTTTTTTCCCTGCCAGCGTCCCCGGCACTAGGAGGGGGGTGAAACCGGGGCTGACGGGGCCGGTTTCCCCAGGAGGAAACCCCTAGGGCTGGTCCCTGGGGCAGGGCGTCTGTCCCTCTCTGTACGAGGAGGATGGCGGGGGTCAGTCCCCCGGCCCT